TGATCTCAGCTAATGCAACCTCCACCTATCAAGTTCAAGCAATTCCCCTGCTTCAGCCTCCCCAGTAGCTGGGATTACAGGCACCCACCATCACACCTGGCTAAGGTTTGTATTTTTAATGGAGATAGGGTTTTACCATGTTGGCCAGGCTAGTCCTGAACTCCTAGCCTCAGGTGATCACCCACCTTGGCCTCCTAAAGTGCTGGGCTTACAGGTGTAAGGCACTGCACCCGGCTAACCATATATATATGTATATATATATTTTTAAGCATACAACTCTAATTGTCTGATTGCCCTAAGTAAAATGTCTCAGAAACTACCCAATACTTTTAGAACATCAGCATAAAGTTCTTCACACAATGTTAGTTGTTTCAGATACGGCCAAAACCAACCAACTTAGCTTAATTTCTGCAGCAGAACTGGCCTGAAACCACCACTGAAACACAATTATGCCTTGCTATCTTCTTAAGGATTAAGTGTCTGGGTAAGAATGTAAGAATCCTTACTTTTATCCTTCAAGTTGTCAATCATGGGCAAGTTACTCAGTTTTCAAAAAAAGCCTGTGTTCCATTATCTGTTAATGGAATAATAATAGCGACGACTTCATGAAGTCATGAGAACAAAATGAGATAATGGCCAAAGTGCTCTGCAAGCGTCTAGCTGAAGAAACTGGAAATTATTATTTATTTTCCTCCAAACATCTCTGTTGTACACTTATCCGTAATTCTAATCTGCAAAAATATTCACCTTTCAAAAACTAACCAATCCTTTGGGATTCAGCTCAAATGCCACTACAATAATGAAGACTTTCCTGAATATTTCAACCAGATGTGGTTTTTCCCCTTCTCCCTTGTATATTGGCCTCTCTTATTATACTTATCACGGTCTCCCTTTTATTATAGTTATTTGTACTTATCTTATCCACATTGCTCAGCTCACCTGTCATCACCACCATAAAATAAGACTATGTACTTGGACTTGCTCTTTTCTTTATCATTGCTTCAGTACAATGCTATGCATATAATAGTTCAGGCAGGGTCTCAACAGAAAATAGGTGGCACAATCCAACTGGGTAAATTAGGAGACACGAAAGGACTGAATATATGCAGGGATAAAGGAAAGTGGCAGCATATGATGAATGACACACCCTGGGACTAGCAACAGTGACAATCACTCACAGGCTTGAACAGGGCGAGGAAAAGAAACAGTTACCAGAATGCAGAAATAGTTCTACCTATAGTGTAGCTGCAGCTGTAGGGAGTGCTATTCAACCAACAGTAGCGGTTTCTGGCAGGAATAAAGCTGCCTAAAGATCAATCCTGCTGGCCAGGAGCAGTGGCTCATGCCTATGATCCCAGCACTTTGGGAGGCCGAAATGAGTGGATCACTTGAGGTCAGGAGTTCGAGACCAGCCTGGCCAACATGGTGAAAACCTGTCTCTACTAAAACTACAAAAATTAGCCATGTGTGGTGGCACATGCCTGCAATCCCAGCTACTTGGGAGGCTGAGGTAGGAGAATTTCTTGAACCTAGGAGGCAGAGGTTGCAGTGAGCCGAGATCATACCACTGCGCTCCAGCCTGGGCGACAAGAGTGAAACTCCATCTCAAAAGCAAAACAAAAAAAAAGATTAATCTTACCTGAAGAGGGACCTACCTAAGGCAGGAGTCAAGAAATTTTTCTCTGTAAAGAGCCAGAAAATAAATATTTTAGGCTTCTTGCATCATATCATATCTGTCATGTCATGACTACTCAATTCTGCTGGCTGGAGTGTAAAGGTATTTATAGGTTATACTTAAATGGGTGTGTGTGGCTGTGTTTCAATAAAACCTAATTTACAAAAGAAGGCTGCAGGTCAGATAGGGCCTCTGGGCTATATAGTTTGAAGACCCCTGTCCTTCCATTGTGAAGGAATAATCTTACTTCACTCTCCTCCTGCCTCTATGTCTCCTGCTGGTCCCCTCTGCTGATGGAACATAAATAAAGCCATATTGTTAGTGCAGTCCAAAAAGGTCACCTCCCATTCTGGGGGCAGAGCAGAATTTCTAGAAGGGGACAGAAATTCTAGAAGGTTCAAAGGAGAATATTCAGCAGAAAATGTTTTCAGCAACTGCTTGTTGAAATGAATGAATCATATGACCATTCACTGTGAATCCCATTGTAAATGGTTGAACACTCATGGAAAAAGTGCCAAAATTTAATTCCTAAATAGAAAAAGCTGGGAAAGGGCTCTGTACCATCATGACTTCAACGAGGACCTGAGGCTCAGTATGCTTCTCTGTTACTTTAGGAATTTTGTAAAACATGCACATGAGAAATACTGATTCTTAAAATGAGAAATTTTAACATTTTTCAGTGTAGTGACATTTGTTGTAATGAGTGTGACAGATCACAGAAATTTCTTTATAATAAAAAGGGAAAACAGATTAGAAACAAAAACAAACCTTGGATACGCCTCAAGTCAGTTCCTACAGTCAACACTTTAGAAGTTTTTAATAAGGGAGACCCATTCTACCCACATTGGGGGCTGGGTCAATGCTCCTGAAATTGGAAAGTTGATTCTAGGCCACTCTGACTGCCTCTCTTTCTCCCACCTACTTTGGCTTTCTCTCTCCCCTGGTTGCTCTTTGCTTTCATCTGGCTCTTCCTGTGAGGTCCTGAAAGGTAGCGGTTTGGCACTTGAGCACCAGAGTGAATGGGAGTTGGATTTAATCCCTTCTTTTCCACTCACTGGCAAGCCACTTTGTCTCTTTAAGTCTCATTTTATCTCATCAGGATGGCAGAGGACATCACAGGGCTGTCAAGATTAAATGTGGCATGTTCTTAATATATTTGCGCTAACGTTAGGCTTACTAGTTTGTTCTGTTTTATCACCCTCTCCCCTTTCATTGCATTCAGAACCCAGTCTCACTTTTAAACAACTTTTGCCATAAAGAGAAAACAAGTGGGTATTTGGAAGGAAGAGGAAGAAATCCAGCATACTCCTACATTTGTTACATTTATTTCTCAAAATTTTGTACAGTAAGTCCTCACTTAACATCATCAACAGGTTCTTGGAAACTGTGACTTTAAGCAAAACAAACATGCAGCAGTTCATTGAATAACATCATTTTATTCAGCATAGTTTTGTTATAAGATTTATGAGAAAAAAT